TGATTATGGAATATTTACTGTGAACAATGAAAAAGCAGGATGTTTAAGTTAATTCCTATAGCCAATTTCAAGGCATAGGGCTTTTATAGTCCTTTTATAAAAGCCTAACCATTTTCTGAATCCCTAATCTTGACAGAATGGGATAGACAAATAATTAAAAAAACATATTTGAGCTAATTCAGTGTTTAAAGTAAGGAAGTTTAGAGTTCAGGACCTTGGACAGTTCTTAGCTGAATAAACTGCAAACATGAAAAGCCCCAGTTTCAGTCCAGTTTACAGAGAACTTTTGGCTGCATGGCTTGTCTGTGTCAGTTCTTCCGAAGCTCAATCTGATTAGGTAGATAAGTCAAGCAACAAAACAAACAATTATAAAAAATGCTAGGGGAATTTAGTGCTGTTATCTGATTAACCGTGTCCCAAACTGTCCTCTGCCTGCATTAATACTTTTTACCCATTCCTGCATTTCTGCATTCTGCATAAATGTACTTGCTGAGGTTCATGCGACACGCTTTAATTTTCTATAGGAAAGTTGCTTTGGAAAAGATTATATTCATTTTCCTGTTACTTTTTAAACTTACACTGTACTATAAGCAAATTGTATGCTGAAAAGAGAACAAAGAAGAAGTGAAGAAGGCTCCACGGCTGAAACGTTGTGTTTTCTTTCTTCTCTTTTCAGCATGGAGTAAACCTATTACTTGTTCCTTTGCAGCCTCTGCATGCTGATGCAGCTACCCACCTGAACTACTAAGCAAATTGTATACTAGCAATTTGCAGCAATTTGAAGTTGCTATTGTAGTATTCTGTGCCTGATAATCTTGTTTTAGAAGTATTGCATTATGAATATATGCAGACTGCCCTTCATAAATGTAAAATGTGGACCAGTGAATCCTCTTAAATTTTTCATTATTCAAAATGTCTTGTAAGTGCAAATTAATGTATGCCATTTATTTAATTGGCATATTAAAGTATCAAATACAGTTTTCTTATGAAACTAAAATAACCTATACCCTATGAGAGGTTGCTACCCTACATCCACCTACCCAGACAAGAGGAACGTAATTCCTCTGAGACTTGTTGTTCACCTTGAACTCTCTAATTCTAAAGGCTATTAGTCTAAAGGCTAATACTGAATGAACACCAGCTTCAAGCTTTATTATAAACCAATATGTTGAACACAAATGAGGGCTGGATGTTGTAAACATAGGTAATGGCTGCATTTTACTTATTGTGTATAAATAACAATTTGTATAAAATAATGCTGACTTAGAACTTTTCTCATTCTTTGTGTTGCCACAGCAACCTTGCTCAGCTGCGTGGTTTCCATAGCAACCCCTTTCACAGGTAAAATGTCCCCTTTCTGCAATTAGTGCAAAAATATTTGGAAAAATAGAAAATAAACTTTTGAATAGCGATACATAATTGGACTGTTGAAAATTTGACAGTGAGCTTCACTTTTGTCCTGGAAAAAAATCTAAAATTGTGCTGTTTATTTTTCTACCCCTCAACCTGTCTCAAAGATTATTTTACAGAATGTTGAACTTCTCGGGATTCTGATGCCTTCATTTAACAAAAACGGTCTTGCAAAAATAGGATTTTTGTTCCATTTGTTTTTCTTTCACAATACTAAAGACATATTTTCGTATGCTTTAGAAAGTCATTCAAATAAATCACGCACAGTACATCACACTGTTGACATCTCATTGACTGGGCTGTCTGAAGCTTTTCTTCACCAGCATGAAGAAAATTGATATTAAACTGTAGTTTAGAAATACAGTCTGCTTGAGGGCCTAGCAAACTACATTCTTTCTTGGAGAACCTTTTAAACCTCTGATCACAAATGCATTGACTTTGCCAGTCTATTTAATGCAAAGTATATTGTCCCATATTAAGCAACCTCCTTTTATTTAGCAGTGTTTGAAACAGGAACTCCCTTGAAGTCAACTCACACTTAATCTAGAAATCACTTTTGGAATATCTTGTCTCTTGCAACCATCTTATTTATCTCTTGGTGCACTTTATTTAGGTTTGAATTATTTTTTGGGAGGGTATTCTTCTTTAATATTTTTTCTCTTTTGTGTATTCTTGGGATCCTGTTTAGTATTTATTTTATTCACCATTTTGCCTTTCTTTATTGCTACATAGTCCTCTTATGACCATTATAGCTGTTCTTGTGAAGCCACATACTTCTGTCAGTGTGTTTATTTCCCTTTTTGTCTCCATGTTGTTCCGAGGGTAAATCATTCAATACTTGTTTCGGATGTCTGTAGGTTCTGAATCATTTTTGTCTTCAAGGGTACAGAAAAGTTTGACCATGTACTGTATAATCCTGTTTTGGTAGAATACTCTACGCTGAAATGATAAAATGTACTGCATCATTTTGATCTTGCACAAGAGATAACAAGGGCATCTGATTAAATTATTCCAAATTCTGAAAGGCTTGGGCAATTAAAATCAAATAACTACTTCAGAATCCACAATGAAGTATGAACCAGAGGCCACCAATGGAAACTGGTCACAGGAGGCCGTTTTTCAAAAAGAGTTGTGGGTGTGTGGAGCAAGTCGCCCACCAATGTTTTTGAAGCCAATAGCCTAGGTTGTTTCAGAATTACAGCTGAATGATATGATATTACATGTAGTGTTTCTTATGTTCTGATGCAGGAAACACATCTTTACAGTGAAATGAGTTCAAATGAACACAGAAAACAAGGAGGTATTGAGATGTGTAAAAATACAATGTCTTCATTTTTAAATTCTGATGCAATAGCCTCTCTGTTTTGTCAATTAAGTGTAGACCTGACACTTTTTAGATTAATTGACTAGAGTCTTGCACTTCAGAAAAAAACTGCATGTTGATTGCCAAGATGATATCTGGCCTTGCATGAAAATACTAAAATATGAAGATAGTCACTTTTACAAATGAGTTCTTTTGGTTTGACAGGATTTAGAGTTTTGAAGGAAAAGAAACTGGAAAATTTGAAAGTCAGGTGACAACATGATATTAAAAATATAAACAAAGAATAATGCCCTCCAGAATAAAAAAAATAGCTTGTTTGTTTTGGGTGCCCAAAGGTTTTTCTCAAACATCAGAACATTTTATCCCCTCAACTATCTTTGCATTTGGGTGCAGACTCCATTTTAAAGGTCTCAGACTGCTTTTTCTTGATGTGAATTAAAATTTAATAATGTCCAAAACTTTAGAGAACAGTATTGCCTTTATGTTTAGGATTGCTGTGCTTTTGTGAATGTTTAATATATGTGTAGCAAATGATAGAGCACATTAAATCATTGCAGGCAGATAAGATTTTGGGAAACTAATACTGAATATTCAGGAGAAGTGACTTATTGATTAATATGTTTATTAAAAATGTTTTGGCCTTTTCTGTCTCATCGGAGATATCAAATTTGTTTCTTATGTTTCTGAATTAAGACCAGCTTATGTTATATTAACAAAATAACATCCTTAACAGCCATCTTCCAGTGCCATTGGACAGGAACATGAAATCCTGTTGCGGGATATGCTTAGAGAGAGAAACCTGTCCTTTCTAGGTAAGAACTAATATTAGAAACTTTTAGTTCTGCTTTGAAGATTTCAGCATCTGTTCACTTAAGGAAAATGAGACCTGGTTTACAGTCTATTATGGAGTGCACAAACAGTCAAAGATGATTGATGCTGTGCATGTTACCTTTTATTGATTAACAAACAGGCAGGAACTCAGTTATCCAATACGCCTTTATGTTCAGTGCATGCACTAGCCAGCAATTAATATTTTATAGAATAAGTAGTTCAAAAATGTGCATTAATACTTACCTAGTATTGCTTTTTGATGTTCTCAGATTTTGCTTTTAACCTCAACCTTCAGAGATTTTAAAAGGGAGGAAAGGTGAATAATACCCCTAAATAAAAAAGGTTTGCCGTCGGAAGGGGCCTGATCAGTAAAAGAAGCCAGAAGAATGAATGGAATGACCTTGTACTCATTTGTAATGAAAATATGTGAAACATTTATAGCAGCTTTTATTAAGGCAAAAGGGAAAACAAACTTTCATTGCCTTTTGATGTATTATTTAAACTATACAAATTCAATAAGGTGCCAACAGTTGGTCAAAAAGTACTACAATCAGTCCCACTCAGTATTAGGAAGGCATATAAAATAATGAAGAAAATAATGAATGTTGTAGTTTTTTGTATGTGTAGCACAAAAAATTCTCAAGAATATTTTTTTTCTTAAAATTCAGATTAGCTACATATTATGAAAAATGATGGATTAAACATTGTTTTGTGGATCAGTACGGTTACAATGTTTTTTTTTCCCTGGCAAAGATGGGGCAGAGTTAATGGAAATTATTTGCGTACCTTGTCTGCTTGAAAAGGAGCAAAAGCATTCCGTATGTCATTAAGAAGATATCATTTATTTGGGCTCAAAGTGCTGACCTTTCATGAAGCACAACAGTGAAGTGTTCTAAAACTGTCAAGAGTTTCAGCACATTGGCCGTGAAACCACTGTCCTCGGTTGATAAATGGATTGGAAATAAGCTACCCAACAGTGGGAATGGGCCATTAATTTTAATCAAAGGTGATGTAAAAAGGCGAATGGGCTGCATGACAATGTCAACAGCCCAGTAGGTGTTAAGAGAGACCACACAGCCTTCCCTGTTACTTGCTTTAGCCATTTGTTGAGGATGGGTGAAGACAGAAAGGCATGACTGGAATTGAATGACCAGGTCATCCCGAAATGTAATGGAGAAATCAGGTGTTCCAGAGATATAGCTGAATAACTCAAGGAGTCAAGGACAATGGATGAACAAAGACTAGCAGGTTAATTGTATTACCATTAAATACCACTAACTAAAAACAAATTGTACTTGTCTTCTTTTAATTAATTTGTAAAACTTCTGCTGTTTTAACATGTCAGGGATTGCAAAGAGTAGAACACAAATTGCAGAGTGCAAAGAATAGTATGTAATATTTTCGTGCTTCTCTCATTGCTTCATTATTTTGTGAATGACATGCAGCCCTTGAATTTGCTAAAAATAGTGTTTGCTTAGCTGTAGTAGAATAATGTGTTCCGACCCTTAGTTCACTTCGGATTTTTTAGGGATCTGGGATTTAGAAATCAGATACTGCCACCAGTTTTCATACCGACCCTCCCCCATGACAAAATCAATTAAAAATCATTACTGCACATGCCCTATTGATTTGGTCACATCAGAACTTCTGGCAGATTTTGGATTCATGGTAGTCTTGTGTGTAACAGTATATTGACTTTTAACAATTGACCTTTGGCTGTGGTGAATGTTTACATATGTTTTGCATGTTTTTAATGCTATCCATAAGGTACAGTGAATAATATTACTAAAGTTTAATTACATATCTATTTATATGCTACTATTATTTATCATTTTAAATTTGATTTGGTTTAATGCCTTTTTAAACCATTAAAATGTAGTCATAGGTTTTTAATGTTGAATTTTGTCACTGTGCTCACTGTGCTAAAGCGCTGTACTAAAAAAGAAAACTAACAAATGTGTCCTTCCAGATGAAAATCAGCTACGTATTAAGGGCTACGACAAGACACCTGACATAATTTTGGAGGTACCTATAGGTGTGTATATCAAACTTTGTTGAATAAAATAAGTAAAAGCTGTGTCTTTTGCCAAGAATTTTAGTTTTGCATTGGTAATTATTTTTGTCTATCTTTTCTCTCTCTTCTTTGGCAGATCAGGTATTGTACAGTATGTACTTACTAGTCATGATGATTTGCTAATATTTGATTTCTTCCATAGACTTAAATAAAAAGATAAATAAGCAAATTTCTTATAATGAATAACAAATTTAATCGATTTGAGCATGGTAAAATAATTACTTATCCACTGTATCCTAATAATAATAATAACAATAACAATTATAGTGAAATCCTCCCTATTCTGGCAGAATAAGTAATTTTTAAATAATGGTAGCTCATATGTAAGCATGCCCTTGTGTTGAATATAATACTATAGGCATCGAAATTGGGTGAAATTCTTTAAGGCAGTTTATGATTAATTTATTGAAGTAATGGAAAAGCATGTTTGACCTAGTTATCAGAATCTTTTTAAAGAACTTTAACAAGACTCATGTTTTGCTTTCTACTTATTTATTAAATTGTCAAATTCTCCACCACCTGACAATTACAAAACAATAATACAGGAAACACTTTGCTTTAAGTGAATATTAATAACTATTCAATAGACATTAATGTATGCAGGAATATATTTAATATTAAATATATAAAGATTTGATGTTATAAAAAATATATATAAAATACTACTAACCCTAGGGTTAGAGTTACAGATATTGTTCAGGCTGTTGTGAGGATTAAGATGTTATCTCTAATATCCAGTAAATCCACAATACAAATTGGTTATCATAACATGTATTACATTAGAAACATATTTAAATTATAAAGCATTTATAAATGCTGTTTGCAACCCCCAATTAAAAGAAACCCAATGATATTGGTGTTAACTATTAACTTTTTGTTTATACAAACAGCTGTTGAAGGTCACATCATTCACTGGATTGAAAGCAAAGCTTCATTTGGGGATTACCAAAGTCATCGCACTTACTTGAATGACCAGTTTTGGAGCTACTGGAACAGGTAGAGTTTGTCACTCTTAATCTTTAAAACAAAGGCGCATTATTCTCATTAACAAAAAAGATTAATGGAGATTTGATAGGAAGTTGTGACTGATCTAAATTATTTATGCCATTTTCAACAGAGGCAGCATTAAAAAATGAGAAGGAAAATGCAAATTTAGGAAGAATTAAATTCATAAGAGACAAATGTTTTTTTTTTCATGTACAGATATTGTTTTTGAAGGGAAATCAGTGATTAATTCAACACATCTGTTATCATGAGCTTTCTTGATGCCCACAGGACAAAAATAACATCTGGGTCCTCACTGGAGGAAACATTCAAAATGATCATTTGACCTCCTTCAGGGGGCATTGGAAATAATTTTCTAACTTTGATGCTTGACACATTTGTATTTTCATTGTCTCTGAAAATATTTGATTTAGAAAAATATAGGAATCTAAGAGCATGTCATTTTTAAATAAAATATAAGCAGTAAATCTCATGCTTAACATAAAGAACAAATGTTAATCCAAAGACTGATTTATTGGTATGAATACGTTTCTCCGGTTCATCGTGTGCAAGGGAAATCCTCTGTCATCATCTAGTGTGATATCCTGACTAAGTAGAATATTGCCCACATGTTGTCCGAATGTAGAATGGCTCCAAATGTCAGGCATTTCCACATGGCCATGATGGGTGTAGAAACTGGTACCACTGAGATTTAACCTTGCTGTTTAGTATACAGGCACGGAAGGACCACAGGAACTCGGTGTCAGGCAGCTTGGAAAAACTGCTCATGCATACGCAGTATCTATGGGCCTCATTGGCGGCCTCAAATACGAAGAACTGAAAGGTCATTCTTCTTCCTTTGGTGTGACGGTTTGCTGACATATTTTGACACACTGGTATGATGCTGGAAGGTTTTGACCTTAGAGCTCCATCAAGGGACTTCAGGCCAGTCCGAGTTTGCACTGTGTGCAGCCAGAGTAAAAAAACATCTTGAACCAGAATCAAATACTTATTTCAAAACGGGCACCAGTGTACAAGAGGTGAATTGCTTAAATGTGAGGATTCAAGGATTTTCCCATCTGTCACAAGCTTTTGGAATCCAAAGAACAGGTTTTGCTAAATCATTTATTTTGGAAATCATGTTATAAATAGAGAAGATGAGCCCATGTTTAAAAGGTTTAAGTGTTTTCAAAAAGTCTGTCTCGGAAACCCCAGTGTAGCTTGTTGAAATGATAAAACTTGGACCCTAATTTTGAAAAGTTGGTCACAAGTTTACTAAAGAATAAACACTGATTTCAGAAAACTTGCCAGTTTTTCGTTTTCCACCTTAAGGTTAATCATATTGAACGGTCATTTTTCTTTAAATATAGATTATATTCAAGCATAGACTTATATTTTTGCATCTTTTTAGTTTGACCTTTGCATTTGCAACTTTTTTTGCCCCTACCTGTTAGCTGGTTCCTTACCACCGCTGGTAAATCAGGCCCTTGGTGACTAATTAGTATGTTGGTAAGAATATGTAAATGTGCTTTCAATGCAATAAGTCATACTTTTATCTTTTTATTTTAGATTTCTTTGGTGTGTCTAAGAAAAAAGTTTGTTTCAGAACAATTAAAAATGAAATGTGATTAAAGCAGACTACCTACTAATATAACACCTTATTTGTATGAAACTTCTGCAATTTCACAGAGTATTGTGTTCTTAAAAGAATGAGTTACATCTAAATTGTATATAATGCATGATAATTATCTACAGTGTCGAGACTTTACCACTCTGTATTTATCTTTTAGTTGAAAATCACATACTTTAAAAGAAATTTCAAGCTGTGCTGTCTCCAGCTGATTGTCATCATGGAAGCACTGTGATTCAAAAATCAGTGAACTGCGATTAAGCGAGGGCTTACAGTATTCAACTTTCTGTGGCGTGACATTGAAAATGGGAGCTCAAAACTGCAAAAATATGATGCTGTATTTCTCATTGTTCATTTGAAATGTGAAATGCCCTGGAAAAATGTGTCCTGTAAAATCCGAATTAACAAAGTGTTATTCTCGGTTAAATGTGTTATTTTGGCTCCTTATATGGAACATTCCTAGACTGTGAGGCATTTTGTACTTGGTGATACATTTTTAATAAAACACATCATAGTGATCTTAAAATTTGCAATCGATCATGAAGCTTAATTCATCATTTATACAGTGAAAAGTAAGATGTTTTTCCTGTGCATGTGTTGAACCATCCTACAGTATGTGTGATTATTGGTTTCACAATTTGCCAAATAGTTCTGTTTTGTTTTTTTTCTTTTTAGTTTTGAAAATCCATGCTAAGATATTCTGCTACCTGCATTAGACTGAAAGAGAGAAAGAGGTCTCTAAATTAATTAGTTTTTAACTGCAGTGAATATGCACATTATAAAAAGTTGACAACTAGTGTTTTGTAGCTCTATACTTACATGTGTGCATGTATATACTGTACAGCATGTGGAGTGAGAAAAAAAAATATTTGAGTTGTTTTTAATAAATCAAATGCCCTTGTAGATGCACGTCTCCCATCATTATAGAAGACAACAATTTATTTGGTGTTGGTGTTTTTTTTTCCCCAAACATCACCTCACGTGTCTGCCTAGAGAGTGCCCCCAGCCTTCTTTTGCATAACCGCAAGGCTTCAGCTCCAGCCACCCGGGTACTTCTCATTCAGATTCGACAAGCATCTGAGCTTATGTACGATAAGAGCTGACAGCGTAGATCCTGTAATGTTTGCCAAAGGCTTGGTCAGATACACTCCACGATGTCAAAGAATGTCAACCCCTTCAGACCCTACCTTTCAGAGCTCCTTGTAATTTTTAATTGACATTTACATCTGACATTTTGAATGCTTTCTCCCATTGTTGATACCGTATCTGTGTAGGGACAGTTAAAACCCCCTGATCTCTGGGCCTTGCTACATCATATATAGTCATGATGTCAAGCTACCTCAGAAGACACGAGGATGACATAATCTCCCTCTTTCTTCATTATATGGATAATTTCACTTGATGTTTCTTGGAAGACAGAAGATTTTTTTCTTTTATTAAAATCCTAAAGGCCAGGTAACTTAATTTAGCATAAGAGTAACCTTTTACTATTGCAATCATAAATGCATCTACTGTTTTGTTTCTTGTCTTCTTAAAAAAATAGCTAATACTGTACTTTTTGTGCAGCCATTAGAATTAACTTTTAACTTTAAAGGAGGAATTTGAAGTAAAAAAAGATGGCAATCCTATGTTATAGAATAACTTAATCAAGAAAGGAATTACCTTGATCAGTTTTCATTGGGTAAGGTAAACATATGAAACAAAATAATAAAATGACTGTTAATTCCATACAAATTTTAGATAAGCAGTAACAACAGTGGTATTTTGTTTTGCAATGACATAATAGCTCATTTTTTCTTTAATGCTTTCCCCAACAACATTTATCACGCAAACAATAGTCGTGCCAAAACAGTAACCTCATAATAAACTCTTCTCAGTAGAGTTATGGGTAATGAAGCTTTGCCTACGAAGACAGCAAAAAATATTTTCAGGCCCAGTGCCTGGATATTATGGCAAAAAAGCCATTGGACTTTCTTTGTCATCAATCTTTTTGGTAGCTTCTTATGCCAGGGAATGTTCTGATAGATGTGCTGATAATTGAGTTATCCATCTTTCCAGCAATCAGAATTGCATAAAAATTATTCACATGCTGCTGAATATTAAATGCATGAAGCTACATGTATTTAACAATAGTAAATGGGGTTAAATCTTGCTTGCAACAGAACCATGCGTGGATCTGATTTCGTGTTACAACAGTTATTGCATATATAGATTTAATGTGAATGTGTAGCCATTTTTAACTTTTTTGTCAGTATTCATTTTCATTGTTCTCTTGTATATTTGTACTGAAAAAATGCGGAGATATTTAATTAAACCTCCCCGAAGAATATCAAACACTTCTTGAGCATTTGAAGATTCAAACCCTCGCAATATTGAGGTATTACATCTCTTAAATAATTGAAATCTTGATAATCCAAACGAAATTATCTAAATAAATATATAATTACATTAAATTTGGTAGTTTGACAAAATTAGTTCACAGAAATATATTAAACGTGTATTACAAAAAAGTATTGGAATGGTAACTTATTTATTACAGTTTTTCAGTGTTATTAGTTTTAAGAACTCCAAAGGTCTCCCTCTGCCTTCATAATGTAGAATCACTTGTGATTCATGATTGAAAATAATACTTAACTTTTGACTGACATTGAAGATTTTCCTGTCATCATGATCACTGAAGAAACTGTTTAAAAATTAATCTGAATATTACTTATACTGACTGTTTGAAAATAAACTAAAGGGATGGAAATACCGACCAAGTCACAATAGAGACAGAAATAAAGTGAAGAAAATTTGTTTTAAAGGAAACTGTTATTGTTTGGCACTGTAGTAGCTAGCTCTGTTACACATGTCAATACAAGTATGTCCTTCTGTCTTGTTTGTATGGTTTTCCCTGTTGTGACTGTGTTTGTAGATAATTCTGTTTACTGGTGGGCATCTGTGTTCCTTTTGGAACATCCATCACCAGCCTTAGATATGAAGGTTGAATAGCCATGTCCTTTTTTGCATGATATATCTGCCAATTATATGAACAGTTTGTCTTGTTTTGTCATTTACATCTCAATTGTCAAATTACTGTCGCATAGTCTGGTTGATTTGGACATTTTTTATTGAAATAAAGGACTTGGTACTTTGTCAGGGAAGGGCATGCAGGAGATGTCAGAATAAGGATATTTGTAGTCTGATGCTGAAGTAAGCTGTCCTTTGCCCAATATTTCTCAAGCATTTGGCGTTTATAATAAAGAGGCAATCTGCCGCAGGAGGGTCACTACAGAACTCTCCTCTCCATGGAGCCTGAGCCTGTCTCATTGGGTTTTATTATCTAAGTTTGATGTCTAGTTAGTTCTTATCAAAACTAATACCATGTGAAGTACCAGGCTTC